ATCCATATTGCGAATGTTCTGAAAACTCAATAGGAACATCTTGTGCTAATTATACATGTGTTACTTTCTCCACGGGAACTAGTTGTAGACCAATTCCAAGCATGAATGAAAATTCCTCTACTGTTGCGTTCTATAAAGTGGAAAATGTGGTGCTGCTGATCCAGGAACCATGACAGATTCCAAGATTTGCTTCACTAAATCTGCTTATAAATATAGTTGGAATGTTGCTATTCATAACTGTGAAAGTTGTATTTCAGGATCTGTCAATCCAAATAATTCAAATGGAATAAATAATTAAACAGATAATGGGACATCAACTAACGACAGTGCCTCATCTTGTCAACTATTTCTTTGGGAATTTTTGGATAATGGCATGATTGTGAATTTATATAGCGATGATAATGATAATTAGATTATATTGGGGAAATATTAATATTTCAAATTATTTTATCTTATTAATAGAGGTATTTTTAGTGGATATTAAATTCTTAAAATTAATACTTTTTTTATTCAGATTTAATGTAGTTATATGTTATGTTCTCTTATAACTTTTATGAAAGTATTTAAAGTGTTATTAATAATTAAACTTTTCTTCATTCCTCAGATTAATTAATTATTCTTTTAATATAATAGTTCTCTATATATTATTTTGTAAGCTTTAAGAACTTAAAGATGATTATGAATATTTTAAGAGTATAAAAGGTAGAATTCTATGTCATAAACTTGCTAAATTCATTTTAAATTACTAAAGCATATTCTATAAACTTCTCATAAAATCCAAGGCAGCCAGTATATGATAATTTTAGGCCTAATCAGTTAAATTGAAGAGTTAATAGATTTATGTATCGTCACATTAGTAAATATAAATGCTTGAAGATAATAAAATTGAAAATGTGATGACGAATAATAAATAAAATAAATTAAAATTTTGAATAGTTAAAATTATTTTAGAATCTGATTAACTGGTTATTTTTTGAATTGAATTCTGTTATTGATTAATTTCAAATCTACTCTTAAGAATAAGAAATCTTAGATCAATATTTGAAATCCATAAAAATTTAATAATATGGAGACTTTCTTAACTTTTAAATATTAAATCTATATTTATATATTTAAGATTCTAGTGATTTAGTATAAACTTCGGTTAGATTTTAGTATAAAGTCACATAGGTTAGAAATAACGAAGGTTCTCCTTCAACTCATAGCTCAAACTCTATAATTTCTTTCAGTTAAGATTTGATTATTTTGAAATAGGAAATTTTTGTTTAAATTTTTCGAAAGAAGCAAGTTGCGGCATGATCAGCAAAGCTTTAATATTCCCTAAAAATATATTTATCATTATACAGAATCATAGCATTTAGAGAGTATTTTTTATTGTTAATATTTTCGATTAATTAGGGATGCAAAGTAATTTATAGTAAAGTAAATAGATAAAAAAACATGATTTTGGATTCTTATCTTAAAATATAGGATCGAATCTCATTTCTAAATTAAATGATTTCTGTACTATAGCAAGCATGTAAAATGTTGGCAGTTAAAAAAATGTAAAAATATCAAATAATTGGAAAGCCAAACATAAGCTTAAGTATTCTAAGAGTAATGGGGTAAGATGGATTTATATCGTATCAAGTAATTACATAATAACAATTATTTTTATATTCATCATATCAAGGAATTAATTAGACACTAAGAAATAAATTTTAAGATGAGGAGATCCAGCTTTTTTTGGATAATTGCTCTATTCATAAAAGTAAGATTGTGAAGAAAGTCTTATAAGCTGTGAGGAACTTATTTTTACCGCAATATACACCTTAATTAAATCCAATCGAAAAGAACTGGCAAATTTTAAAAAATTCATTCACAAGGAAAGTTTATTGGGGATGTCAAAACAGGATAAAAAAAAGCCAGATTAGATGGTCATACTAGCAATGTCTAATCATTCTGTTTTTTTCCTAATGGAAATAAATTAGCATCTGGTTGTAGTGATAAGTCTATTCGTCTTTGGGATATAAAAAAACGATAATATAATTATTCTTTAGAGAATAGATATAACGAAATTTAGGTTAAAAATGCAAAATATCCCTTTTATAACAACCCTTTTACATGAAATATTGTAATTTACACAGGAAGCAGGGGTATATAGGGGTAACTAAATTCTCTATGCCATCAGACGCAATAAAGAAGAGTAAAAAGTAGAAATAGAAGATGGGAAAGGAGAAAATTTGAGAAGAAAATGGACTTGCCCTTTAAATATTATACAAAATTTAAAAATCTATTTTTTAACCACCTGTAATGGTAGATCCTGTATTTTTAATTAACTTTATAAACAACAATTTTTAAAATTATACTTGAAAAATTGTATATTAGTGAATGAATTTTTGTAATACAAGAAAATATTCACATACATTT